ACTACTACAAGACCATTTCAGGCTGGACATAAGGAAGAATTTCTTTACTGTCTGAGCCCCCAAGGTCTGGAACAGCCTGCCATCAGAGGTGGTTCAAGTACCTACATTGAACACCTTCAAGAGAAATTTGGATGCTTATCGTGCTGGGATCCTATGACCCCAACTGACTTCCTGCCCTTTGAGCGGGGGGCTGGACTTGATCTTCCAAGGTCCCTTCCAGCCCTAATGTCTATGAAATCTATGAATTGTTAGTAGCTGAGCAGCTAATAGCTGTTACCTGTTTGGCAGGAACTGTGAAAGGGTTAACACTAGCTTTTGCCTGAAGAGTTACTGAGCTGGCTCAGACTGAGTGAGCTGCTGGTACTGCTGCATGCAGTAAGCCCTCTGTCATGAATCTAGAAAAATCTTTTTTTTTTTCTACATCTTGCCTTCCAAAAACAGGTGCTTGTCTTTAAAGTGTGGACGCACATAACTGAAGTGTTACAAAGTGTCATGGGTTGGGAACCAGTTCATAATTGTCCCAGGTTGGAGGTGTCCATACATGTACTACCAAGGGTTCCAAATAGAAGAGTCGCCTTTTAGGCATTTTTGGTACTCTTAAACTGTCACCAGGGGGTGGTAGTGAGTACTCAGTCCAACTGCAGTTTTCTGCTTCCACCTTTTAACTAACATTTGAGTTCAGTAACTTTTTTGTGCACTTTAACAAACTCTGTGTGGTGGTACCCTGACTGAGGGTGTCCAGGTCTGTGTGTCTGTGTACAGGGGGGAAGACCTGCCTGGACCTCTCATCTCCACATTCCCAGGGGCCTGCATGCTCCAAGTTGCTTCCCAAGATCTGACTTGCTATGGCTTTTGAAAGGACTTTCCATACAAAGCTGCTCATTTACTTCCATTGCCTACAAGTGACCCCAGTCTGTGGTGCCTTGGGTTGATCTGGGGGAGCAGTGATGATTGTGGGGGGTGCCTGAAAGCGGCTCAATTAACTGGCATTGCTGACAGTTGTATAGAGCTGTATGAGCAGGGTGGAATGGGCAGGGCAGGTGATGGGGTTGTAACATGGAGGGCGAGGAGCAATTTTTGAAAATGAACAGGCTGATTCACATTTATGGAGCATGGTGCTGACAGCTATCCCATGGTATTAATTGCCCATTGTGCAGTCACTTGGCTTTCCCTCGCCCAGTAGTTGGGGTGTCTATACTTAAAGGTGCACCTGCTCACTCACCAGCTTGGCAGTTCCCCTGAAAACCTAGAAGCAGGGGTCCAAGTAGCATCCCTGCCTGGCCACCCCTCTCCTGACCCCAAATTAGCCTGGGAATCTGCAGAGGTAGGGTTCATTGCCAGCCGCTGAAAGTCTTTTGGGGAAAATCATTCTTTTAAAACCCCCAATGTGATACAGACATTGCAGGGTGCTCTGGAACACCCAGCCCCCAGGCATCCAGAAGCAGGAATCCAGACAGCTCCTACCCCCACATGGCTACACTCCTTGATATCAATCTGGGATGCTTCAGACTTTTAAGTGCAGGCTATGGAGGAGCAGTTAAAAATTATACCTAATTATCCAAGCGCACTTTTGAACCATCCCAGGAGATTTAAACCTTTCCAAACTGGCTTGTATTTCTAGACATCTGTGGTTTAATCTCCCTTTAAAATTGTCTGTGGGCACATTTACATGAGACAGTTACTGAAGAATAGACTAATTAGCTCTGCAGTAAATGCTGTCTACTATATGTGGCCCTATTAGGCTGGAGTAAACTAATTAACTCTGCTGCAGGTTAGTACTCCTGAATACAGGTACTGTCCTGCTGCAGAGTTTTTTACTCTACAGTAATGCATACTGGAGAGGATGCCCTGGCTGGCTGGTGCATGAGGGTTCTCCAGCGTCAAGGCTGCCTGTTGACAAGTGCTGTACTAAAGCACCCTCATGCCCCAGCCAGCCCTTCCACAGCACATTTAAGCTGAGAGGAGCAGCCCCTGTCTGGCAGGCTGACCCCCAGAACCCAGTGCCAGCTGGGGCTGCCCATACCCAGCTCAACATGCTGCAGTCCCAGACAAACGTTCAGACAGTGCACCCAGGAGCAGTAAATTTCAGAGTTTATTGCTTTGGGATGCTAACTTATTAGCTTTTTAAATTATGTTTCTATGGGACACCAGAAATTAGGCAGCTGTTAAGTATTTCACTGTAGAATTGACAAGGAAGAGGCAGAAATACATTCCAATCTTTAATGCAATGGTCCACTGCTGGCAAATATTTAGGGCAAGGCAGAGAAACACAGCTGCCAGGGTCCACGTTGGGGAGGTGGTTGTCTGGACATTATTTCTGAGTTGGATGTCTAGTTGACATTTCCGAGGTTCCAATTCAAGGTCATGGTAGACAGAAGTATAGTTCAAAGCACCTTTTTTCTATAGGCTCCAATAAAACCTCTCTTTGCTTTTAAAGGTTCTTCCCATTGCCTCAGAAGAACTGGAGGGTGAAAGGTAAGAGCCTTCCTGTTTCCATCTTGTGGTAAGACTAATGAGGTACAGATGCCAAATATACAGTGAGGAGGGGGAAGTCTGGGCCTTGAGGAATTTGCAGTGGACTGTACATTTTGCCCTTCCATTATATATGTCCCAGAATAGTCAGACCTGCTGTTAGCCTAGATCTGAGCTGCTAGCTTCTGGCTTCTCTGTAATGGAAGATCTTGAATGTTAGATGCTATCCATTGGTGTTGCAGCCATCTCAATGCCTAAGTTTGCTCTTGTGGTTTTTCCAATATGCTGATAATATTCAGGCTGCCAAGGTACTCTTACCTAGACTGTCTAGTTCAGTAGCTGAGACTGTCCAGTTAAATAGGTGGAGTTTTGCTGTAACAGAGTGCATCTGGACTGCTTAAGCACAAGAAAATAGCATAATATGTGTAGATGCAAAGTACCTGGGCTGTTGTAAATGAAGTATATTGACTTGTCTAGAAATAAATGCTCATTATGGCCAGTGCAGTAATAATTAGTTCTGGAAATTATGTGCCTGATGTTTCCTCACAATACCTGTGACTAGGCAACTTCCCCTCCACCAGGCAAGCGGGTTGATTCTGATGATCCTACTGCTGATGGTGATATGGTTTGGTTTGGTTTTTTGTTTTTGCCCTACTGCAGTTCCAGTCTGAAGAGAGGACCCTATATAACTGAGGATGACTTTATTGTATCTCCCAATAAGCTGTCTAGAATAGAGGAACCAAAAAGAGGTAAATGTATATATTCTAAGACTAACTGTAGAGTTCTTTTGTCACAAAGAAAAGAGTATATCATAGACTGAAAAGGAGTGTATCATTTGTTTTTTATGGCTTCCATGAGTGCTAACAGTAGATTCCCATGTGTGGGAAGAAGACTGCACCCACAGTGCATTGGCTGGTGTGGCAGTGAAATTCTTAGATGTGTATTTTTGGCTTTAACATCCTGGGAGTCTCTTGTGCTTAGGGTTCTGCAGTTTTATTCCCATCACAGATGTTGACTTGCTGTGTGAACTTTGGCAGGTCATTCACCTTGTCTCTCTTTCTCCTCTCATTAAAACTTCTTGGGGGTATAAATACTTGTAACATCCTTTGAGATCCTCTGATAAAAGGTGCTTTGGAAGTTCAAGTGATTAAAGTCACACACTAATTCTACGTGGAACATTTCCCTATTTCCAGCTTCCCACTCTCATCTCCCCTGTTGGAAGGAGAGTGAATAGTCTATCTACCTTAAGTACTTTGTTTGGCTTCATCACCCTAGTGTTTATAGAACATCACAGATATTAACCTCTCTCCTCACAACAGCTCTGTGGAGTAAGAAAGTACTCCTGCCCTCTTCTTGGATGGTCAGTGAAGCACAGATCTGACTGCAGTCATACAAGAAGGCTGTGGGACAGAAGGAATTCTGTATGTCTGGAGTACCAGTCTATAACTGTAACCACAGCACTGACCTTTCAATCCAGCTGAGATCAGCAAATACATTGCTCCTTAGTGGTTTAAGGGAAACCAACAATTAATGAAAGAGTTTGGCTCCTTTTATTAGTGTGTGTAAAATGGGAACTATAGCCTTATTCTATGTGTAGCTTGCAGTATCATCATATGCGCACATTTTATAATTAAGGGGATTATAGCTGCCTTCACATTTAAAACCAACCTCCACCTTCTGGTTTTGTTTCTATGCTCTCTTCCACCAAAGGAAATTCTTCAACCTCCTGTGGTGGCCTTATTTCACCCCATTTGACCTAGATATCATTGCAATTGTTTCAGTTCATAGCTGCATCAGAACAGCAAGCAATTAAGCCCAGTAAACAGCCCATGTCATGATAACTAATCATTACAAAGTGAATTAAGGACAATGAGGCTGTTAAAAGTCCAAACTTTCCTGCTCTGTTGGTTTATTTCTCAGCCTTGCT